GTGTTATTTTCTCACTCCTTTTGTTTACATGTTGTGAATTTCAGGCATTCTGATTGGTCAATCGCACAAAATGTAAACAAACGTGCTGATTGGTTAACATTATACATTATATTGGACAATTGCTTGACCGTAATGTTCAGACAGACGTTAATTTTCTTGACTTTGCTAAAGCCTTTGATTCCGTTGATCATACTACTTTATTGAAGAAACTCAAACTCGTGCCACACGATGGATCCGTCAAGTAAAGATAGGAGAGGTCTCATACAAGATCGTTTATTGGCCCTAAATCTTCTGCCGCTATCTTACGATAGAGAGATAAAAGACAATTAACATTCTTTTAATGTGTAAGCCACAGCCGTATCCGTAATTGTGCAAATCCTAGCCTAATGCTCAAAGTACCTTTGTGTAAAACAAGTACATTTCAGTCATCGTACTTTAATCGTATAGTTCCCCTTAGAACCGTTATGTGTAAAACTGCTAGACCTTCAAACTTAAGTAGCCTCACTATGTTCAGACTGTTTTATCAAGAACATATTTACATTTACTAATCTCTTGTTTCGACGTGTACATGGCCTGTACATGGCCATTATATCGAACTTGCTCATGTCATAGAGTTTAACGTGTGAGATAAGCATATGCTATTGCTTGATTACTTTTAAAATTTTCCTTACATCATTTCAAGGTATTATTGCTATCACTAAATTTTTAAGCATCATAAATCTTAGCTTTTAATTTTCGAGTTGGTGGCATATGTTTATTTATGATTGTATATGTATATTTTATTCTACATCTATTGTCTGTTGTTGTATTTTTAATAGGAGAAGTGCTTCGCACGGGAGCTCGATCGCACTATCCAATAAAGTATTTAAAACAAGACAGTTGAGTTGTGAAAGCATAAACATTCAGAAATTATGTTTTCATTTGTTTATGTTTAGATTTATTCAATATTATTAAAATACGTTTCTGTTTTATGGCAACGATAAACGTACTTCTTTTAATAATATGACAGTGTTTGCATAAAATATATGTGAAGCCAAATTGATCAGTCTGTAAAAACAATTAAAGCAGCAATGTTTTATATTTTGACCGACTGGATGCATTAATGTTCTAATTTTGATACAGAAATTTTTCTCATTCCAATCTGTTTATTTTGATAAAGAAGTTGATATTTGAATACATTCGGGGCCCTTGCGATATCATAATTGTGAAACTATTTTTAAACTGTTTTACAATATATTTTGCTTGATTGCATGTTATCCAGCACTGTGGATCTATATTCTCGCTTCCAGCTCTTCTTACAGAGGTTTTAAAAGCACATGTACACTATGTCGTTGCAGGGAGTCACCCATCTTACATAAGTATATCATACTCCTGACAGACAGTAGCAAGCTTAAATCAATTACAAAAACAAAGAACGAGCAGCATGCTAACTGTTTCTGCTAACAATGCTTTTATAAGAAAAATTTTAAAAATTTCAGATTCTTCGAGAAAGGGCAGGTACAACCCTTGTTCATAAAAACTAACACAATATTTCCAGCAAAATATTTCTCAACTATCCATTTATAACTCCAAATTTCATCTTTACAACATACACGATTTCCTAATCTTTTCCGTTACCTAATCTTTCTTTAACAATGCTGTCATTGTCAACAAAAGCATGAAATAACTCCAAAAAAGTACCGGTGTTAAGGAAATTTGCTCACTTAATATATCATGCTTATTCACTATATTTAAAAGCTAAGAAGCTGGCTCCTTGATTACAGTATGCATCATATTTTGAAAGACGTAAACATCCTATTCTCACAACAAACGCATAATAAAACACAATATAATATTAAAGTGAAGACTTGAACTAACTTACTTGAAAATTTAGAAAATAAAATGGAAAAAATCGTCCCTTTAGCCATTGTTGGTTACTTATGCCTTATAATTGCCCATTATGTTCTATTAATTTCTTTTGGTGACAAATCACCTCCATGCAGTTGTCCATAAAAAACGTACATTTCACGTTTGTATTACCTCGTACGCACTCCTTCAAGACAGCCATATTGCCAGAATATTAACTTCTTATTAACCGAGCGCGAGGTCTTTACAGGGAAATATCGGATCGAGGACTTTCTTGTACAGACCGAGCCCGTAGGGTGAGGTTTGTACAAAAAGACCAAGGTCCGATATTTCTCTGTAAAGACCAAGCAAGCGAGATTAATAAAAAGTTTATTATATGGCATTTATAGCAAGAAATGCATGATTTGAAATGCATATTAGTAGCGTGGTACACATTTGATCGAAGAAAACAAAAAATAGCAATGTATTCCTTCCTTTTCACTTAAAGCCATTCGCAGATATCTTATTAATAACAAACTGAATTAAAATTTTCAAATTTTCTACTAGTTTTGCTGTTTTGTTTTAAAATGTATGCGTTTGTTTCTACGTAATGGACCGCCGGCCCATTACGAGAAAATAATGGACAGTTGAAATTGCGTCTCAGCCAATCACAGTCCGCCATTTAACCGGAAGTGATGCATGCCATATAATAAAACGTCAAATCTCTTACCGGTTTCACGTTTTTCCAGGACTTTCGCAACACAGGCCTTTGTGTAGCCATGAAAACCACAATGTAGGATGTAACTGGTTGAGACTATTTCCCCTCTACAGGAAATTCGCGTATTTTTATGATAAACTCCATGTTGAATCACGTTGCCCTTCTTAAGCCCCCGCTCTCCCAACTCAATGTTGAGCTTGTGTTATGGTATATTACCGAAAGTTGTTTCGGTGTTGTTTACAACACTGAACTGGGGGGAGGAGGAGAGAAAGATTGTTTTGTCAATGTTCAATAACTTTGTAATATTAGCTGGAATGGCCTCAAGGGTAATGCATGATCAATAATCAGCCGATTTATCAAGTTTGAGCGCTCATTCACAGATGCTTTGTAGTTTCAAACCAACCTGCAATCTTGGACAAAAATATATATTATTAAACTAGTTTGATATTATTCTGGGACCATGGCCGCCGAGAGAATTCTCGGGCTCGGAGGAAATCTTCCCTAGGCCTGGGGGAGGGGGCAATGACATAATTATTTTTAAGCTAGACCCAACTAGACGTTAGCCAGACTGCATGTGGAAGACTAGTAAGGGGCCCTCAATTTCAAAAATGCTTGGACCAATTTGGAGAACCTACTCAATTTTAAGCTATCGCTCTATGTGGGGGCCCTATTAGGGTGGAGACCCAGGGCAATTTGCCGTCCCCCTTCTCGGCGGCATTGTCTGAGACGGCAGAGAGCAGCGTAAAAAGATAAATCACGCCATTAATCCCGTTGAATTGGTTTTCTCAACTCAAGAGTAGAGAGGCATGCTGTACATGTCTTGATACCCGAAGATGAGAGTTCGGGTACTCGTTCGAGACAAATAATATTTTGTTTCTCTCTGCATGCAGTGTCAGAATAATATGAAACTAGCTTTTCATTAATGACCAGAGCAATCGCAAATCATTGTAGAAAGCTTAAGCCGCAACCATATATACATTAATTAACTTGGTTTTAGTTGGATGGGCGACGGATCACTTATCCTTGTAAAAACCTTGTGCGTCAGAAGTCGTTGCGCGAAGATGTTCCAGCTGGCTTGTGATCAGAATTTCCCCCGTGCCTTAACATATGTGAGCATGAATCAATGGGACATGAAAATTAATATATTTAAAACAACGTCTAACCATTTTTATACAGATGGCGTTCATGTTCGAACAAGTCAATAACCAGGTGATAAGAAGAATGATTTTTGTTGCAACAAAAGTCATTGTTGGCTTTCTTGTCTTGATATATTTTGGAAGAAGTCTGGTCATTTGTAATGATAATATTCCGTTCTGTAATAAGCGCTTGGAAGGACTAAAAAATGACGTGAAAGACTGGCGAAGAAGATGCTTGAATGGTACAGTTCATGTGCGTAATTCGTCATGCTGTGCAGCAGAGAACGAACGGAATCAGCAGAAAATGAGAATGCAGACACAATTGTGCTTTTATAAAGGTAAATATGGTACTCTATTTTACAATCGACAATTGAAGTGGCCCGGAGGTTTAATCCATCGGTTAATGCATTACTGAAGTACGGTGGAGGGCGTCTGCATTTCGTTTTGAAAGGCAATGTTCAGGCTAAAATGTTTATGTAAGAGGCTGATAAATTTATGAGGATGAGAGGAAATTAATTCAGCAGTTCACCTTGCCTTGCACGCATCTAGGTTACCTTTCTCCATTGGAAAATTCAAATCAAATTGAATTTGAAAGATAATTCATGAACAAAATCTAAATTGTATTAACGGCATGAACGGTGTCTATTTATCACCACAAAACTACATACCTGAGCATTACAATGTACTGAACATACGCTAAAGTTTTAGACCATATGTCATTCTAGCGTACCTAAAAGTTGTCCACAAATTTCATGGCAGCGTATCGTAATTGAAGATTCTCGCATTTCTATGCTCCGTCCTTGCCAGGCTGGTCAACGTATGGCCAGAAATCACGGACATGACTTATTCCACTTCCTTCACAATTTGCATATCACGTTGAAATATGGCTTCTGCAGTAAACAGTAAATTATATTACGCGATGCTGTAAATCCCCAAATCAGAGAATATATGGTAGGTTGTTTGTAACTTGCCTCAGTCGCTGGCTATAAATCAAAGTCTGTCGAAGTATTTAGCGTAATGTTGACTTGATATTAGTTAGTTACCATTCTACATTTTCAGTATTTGTACAGAGGTTAGTTTGTACGGAATTTGTCTATTTAACTCTATATAAGAATACCGCACTATAGCCACTAGAAACAAACGAAAATGCAGAATAGGCAGTAACTTACACCAGCCAAACACTACACGATATATTTCAACAGACCGTGGTCTGCAACCAGCAATCCAAGCAAACTGCAAACGACTACCAATATTCGTTTAAACAGCGTGGAATGTATGTTTGCATACAGTAAAGCTTTACCATTGCCCGCACTTCGCAGCAGTTATTGTTCCGATATTTCGCTGTAGGGCATCCAGGAGAAGATGGGTTCGAAACGCTCCCAACTGTAGTCGTTGATTTCTTGCACGTTTCTATCACCCATCAAACGCTGAATTTCAGGTCGGGAAATGTCAGTTTTTATTGCTGCTTTAAGGGAGCTTATTGCTTGCTCCACAATGTTTAAGAATGGGCAATATCGAGGTAGTTTTCGTAACTCGGTATTGGGAGCAGGGACAGGTGGGTTGTTTTGTGCTGGTGCGCCGTCATATATGAAGATAACGTCCTCGTCAGGATCCAGATTGAGGCGTTGCTGTGTAAGAAAATCAGCAAAGCGTTCACGATTCATTCCTCCTAGAAAGATCGTGTGAAACACCAAGCCACCATTTGCAGATACTGCTAAGCAAACGGTCATGTTTCGTCCTCGCTGTCCGCAAATTATTATTATTAATTCTTTCGTTTGGAACGCGTCGAACCAGCTTAAGTGTGAACAACATCCCATTCAATGTTCGTGCAACTGTACTCTCATGAATTTCGGGCTTGTGTGGGAGACGTCTTCGTAATTCTCGATTTATCTATACAAGCGTTAGGACACAGTTGTCGTTGATAATGTGTTCAAGACAGTCTCGCATTTGCTCGTCTACACGGACTTTGTTTCTGCCGCCCCGAGGCAACTCAAGGATTCGTCCTTCTGTGATAAAGCGAGCCACTATTCCTCGCGCCGTCGACCAGTTAACTCCCAACGCCAGTAAATAAGAGAAAACTCAAGACGAACAACACAATATAAAGTATATATTATACAACACGAAATCAAAGATGTTCGCAAGCGCCGAGCGGGGCTTAATATATTTAAATTGTCAACACTGTTCGAATGTCAATCAAAATACGTCACTGTCTGATGTGACGTACTTCCTGTAACTTTAACATATTAATAATGCTAATCAGAATACGTCATTGTATGTGTGACGTACTGTAACTTTAACATAACAATAACAATGTCAATTGTGGCGTGGCTTTTTTCTTCTTCTTTGCCTTCGTTTTAACTATTACGTTACCAAGTCTCATATTCAAAGTACATTGGTGGATTCCGGTCACGTCGAAGTCTGGTATTACAGTTGAGATCAGAATCAGCAGAATCGGGTGAACAGCCTTGCGATGATGTTGAGTGTAGAGATAGCTGTAAACCTGGGAGAGTTAATACTGGTGGTATGTTTGTTGGCTGGAAAGGTGAGTTGGAACCTTGAACGTCGTTTTCGCTATCTGTGTCGGTTGTACGGCTAGGTGAAATTTTTGGTATCTGACTTGGGATCAGGTGACATTCACTGATTCTTATTTTGTAAGCCAAAGTTCGTAGTTGGTTACCAGAAAACTTTCTGACAAAGCACCATGGCTTATCAACAGACACAACCAAGTAGCGATTTCGTGGCTGAGTCTTGTCGTGTTCAGCGGGTAAATATATGAGATCTCCGACATGTATTTGTGAAATACTTTTGCCAACCGTTTTGGTGTTCTTCGACCTTTCGCTGTATGGATAGTTCCTTTGACGGGTCTTGTGATGGTTGATGATAATGTCCCTGTCTTCCAATGGAAGTTGCTCACGAGTAAATTGGTTTCTTTGTGTCCATAGTTCGTGAGCAGATACACCTTCTCTGCGCAGGCGTGCGTTGAGTCGTGAAACAGCAATGGCTAGGCCGAGTTCTGTAACTGGTCCGCCGTTAGGAACCTGCCAAATAAATTCACTTTCTAATTCCGCAATTGCTTTTCAGCTACGGGGTTCTTGTTGCCGTTTTTGATGGGACCGATCTCTATGGATATGCCAAGCTGTTGGAGTATACTGTCGTCTTTCAAAGAGACAAAGCCTGGGGCGGGATCAACCCTAACCGTAACGGGTGGTCCACTTTGTGGTCTTAATCCAACGTACGCATAAGCGTGCTAAATTGTCACAGAGTGTCGCGCTCTTTTCATAAGGTATAATGCTTGATATGTATGATGTTGTAGTCTCACGCAATACCAGAATGACTTGCTTGCATCGCCTGAGAACGTCAGCTGCAAATGATACGCCAACTATGTCTGGTGTGTTTTCCGAGGTGTGTTTCGTCAAGGTCTCGGGAAGCTTGAGTAATGATGCGCATGTATGACATGTTTCACAGACGTGATCGATTACTTGAGGCATGTCGAGAGCATAGAACTGGCGTTTCATGACTAGTTGTAGTTGATGCTTCGAAGGGTGGTCAAAATGTGGATGTGCAAAGCTGTCACAAGTCCATCTAGAACAGTGCCAGGAACGATAATCAGATCGTTGGACGAAGTACGACTAATAGACCGTCTTTCGCGATGGTAGCGACGTTAAGGTATCGTTTTACGTCCTTGATGTTGGTAATCTTTTTAGACGGACGAGTACCTTGCTTAAGATGGGCATGTGTACGTCCGAGGTCCAGGCATTCTGACTGGATTTGAATCCAGGCTGAGCGAGTAGTGAATGGGAGACCAGATAACCCGCGGATATCTTGAACAGATGTGATCTGGACCACGGGATCTTCCGTGAGGCCGACGAAGTTGCAAATCTGGAATCTTGGCTCGTTTCATTCTGGGGCCTTGCGACTGGCAAAGTCTGATGGAACATTGGCAGTACCCGCCAGATGACGAACGTTGACCTGGTACCTACTGACGATTGATAAGAAGGAAGTAACTCAAGGGCTCGCCGAAAACTCGCCGCGACATAATTTTTCAAAACCCTGACCACACGGTTTACTGTCCGTTAATAGACATGCTTGGTGGGTGGATTGGATAATGAACGGGCTGAAGTGCTTAACTGCGGCAGCGATACTAAGAGCTTTGATTTCGCAGGGTAACCCGGGGACTTGATGTTTTCGTAGTTTTGCGCTAAAGAAGCCAGCGAGATGAAGCTTCTCGTTGCGGGTGATGTATAGGGTGGCCCCGATACCGTGTTTGGTAACTGATCCGTCCGTAACGATCCAAAGTTGATCAGATGGTCGTGGCAGAGTGATGGATTTCCGTGTAGTGAGGTTAGTTTGTGCAGAGCGGAACTGTTCGCGTAACGTATCTGTCCACAGTATGCGCTCGTCTGACTGTTGACCTGCAATGGCGCTCTCCAGTGGGGCTATGATGTGTGAACACTTGGGTAACACTCTGCCCAGGACTTTATATGCGCCAACAAATGAACGTAAACCACGAACAGTGTCAGGTGGGGGGCACGATGACAACGTGCCAATGCGATGTGAACTGGCAGATAGACGTCCTTCTGTCCATATCAATCCAAGCATGATAGTCGAGTGGGGACAGATAATGGTCTTTGAAGCAGAAAGATGGAGATTGCATTTCAGAAGAGCTTGTAAGATGCGACGCCAATTCTCGAAAAGGGCTTCGGGTGAGTCAGCTCTACAGTAGAGATCGTCGGCAAGTTTGGCTGCGATACCGTCCTGCAGACAATCTCCCAGTACACGACACATTAGCTCCTCTAGGGCGGTTTCCGATCCGGGCATTCCCATCGCGCAGCGTGTGTAGGCTCGTATACCACGAAACGGTGTGGGGACGCCGCAATATTTCATCGAGCTTTTCGACAGCGGTATTTGGTAGAATGCACTTGTTAAACGGTTAATATGATTTACTTCCACTGAGCAATAGCGCGTAGTATGGTGTCGACATCGGGTAGCAAGGATGGCTGAGGCTTGCTATAACGCCCAACGTCGGCAAAAGCTGTGACCAAACGATGTCCACAGGTTGGTTTGGTAACAAGGAAGGAGGGATTTAGATACTCTACTGTTATTCCAATGTCCTTGGGCCGTTTAAATACTTCTCGAGCTTCAAGTGCGTCGAATTTCTGTTGCAATTCTACTAATTTATTATGGGCATACTGTGGAACACGACCCTTTCGTTGAGGGGGTTGGACCGGACCCATGTTAACCACAGCTTCGAATGGACCAACTGTGCCATTGTACCCGGTGATGGTGCGGTCGAATACGTCATCATGGGCTTCTAACAGGCTGCGGAAGCTTTGACGGGTGGTGGGTGGAAGAATGTTGTCGGGATCCACGGTTACACAAGAAGAATGTGAGGATGCAAGAGGTTTAGGAGTGACATGTGGCACAGGATGCTGAGGGAAGGGGAGTGTGTTCTCCTTGGTGTCTAGAATCTGGGTCAAACGAACTTGGCAAAAATGTTCATGACGGGATATGTTCTTAACTATTGATGAATCATTCAGTATGCGGACTCGTCCTGCGACAGCTTTGAGAATATGTGGGTGTGGCCAATCACTCACGGATTTAGCGCAATCTGGGCGTGGCTCCACGGCAAGGGTGATATCTGGGTCAATTTCACGAGGAATGGGAATCTCTAGGTATTCACCGGGCCAGATCACGGTAGGAGTTGGTGGAGCTCGAAGAACGTGTGCCTGGGTACGTCTAACAAGGTGTTCCTTCCGATTGGGGAGATATGTATTGTAGTGGGTGACGTCTGTACCCTTGATTGTAATTTGTTGCTTCGAGGGTCTAATGGAAATGTCATTGGTCACCATAAAGGGGGTTCCCGCCAAAATATCAACGTCTAAATTGTTTACGACCAGGGCATCAAGATGGAGGGTGTGGGAGTTACGTGATAAATCCAGATGGACTTCACCAACAACGCTTAGTCGAGTAATTCCGTCAGCCTGTAGAGCTGTTTGTTTGGGGTTTTTTTGGATAGTGGCGCCAATTTGTTGGGCAATAGATGACTTAATCATACTGGTTTCGGCGCCAGTATCAAGAGTGAGTTGTACCGCATGGTGGTTGTGGAATACTTTCAGGTGCAGGGATTGTTTTGTGCTAACTCGGTAGGCGGTAGACTTGACCCGATTGTTCTTGAAACAGGAGTGGTCATCTGGTTCTAGCTCTGAGTCTGACATATTAGATGGTTCATGTTGATCAACAATGACTTGTCGTGTGCGAGTTAAATATTGACGGTCTTCGTTAGGAAGAAATGGGCACTTACTTAAGTAGTGTTGGAACTGCAATCTTTTAGCTTGTTTACATATGGGGCAGCACTTGGTTGCCCCTCCCTTGTTGTTACTGGGCTGGGAATACGCACTACGGTTGTCACGCTGTTGTGAGGATCGTCGAAAGGCTGTGCGTAGAACTATAGCCTCATTTGAAGAATTAATTTCGTCGAGGAGGGCGTCTAAAGCTTGAGATATTTCGGGTTTAAGGCTGGCTAGTGTCTGTGATCGGAGTTCTGTCCCGTAACGTTGCTTAATTAAAGTGGGAAAATCTGCATAAATTAACCCCAACCATGTCAGTACAATTATGTTTTCAAGCGAGGGTGTTAATTCTTCGTCCGTGGAAACGTCTTCGCCGTGATGTCGGATATTACCATTACCTGTGAGTAAATTGTCATCGATAAAACTCAGAACTCGCTGATATAAGTCCTCGGGGCGCTCGTCAGGTTCTAAATGAATGTTATCAAAATCGAGAAAATGTGCCCCGGTGGACTGAAAGCCATAATGTGCACGAATTGCTTGCTAAATTGTCCTCATAGATGTTGAGTTCTTAACGATTGTGTCTCGTGCAATGACGGGACAATAATTGACTACTTGGCCGTGCATTAACTCCAAGTGTGTTAGCTTTTGGGCGGCTGTACGTCGGCTGGCTTCTGGAACGCCTTCGCCGTCGTTTTTGAGACCACGTAGTGGGGCAGTAGAAGTCTTTCGCAGCCATGTTGTGTCTTCGAGTAAAAATACGGCGAAGTTGTGGTCTAAGGCAAGGGTGTATTGAAGATTTTGGCGCCAGGCTTCGTATGAAGTGATAGTTTCCTGTTTGTCAGGGCCCACTGTTTGGGAGCTCGACTTGTAACCATATCTTGTATCTTGTTCGTAAATATCTGTCGTATTAACAGCTACAGATGCAAGCTGCTTAGTCTTCGACTTGTTGTCTGAGAATAATTTCTTATCGACTTTGATTGTATTTGTTGAGCTATTCCACTTTATCGGAGCTCTTTGAGAACTATATTGAAATTCTAAGTAATGGACCGCTGCCACAACGCCAGTAAATAAGAGAAAACTCAAGACGAACAACACAATATAAAGGATATATTATGCAACACGAAATCACAGATGTTCGCAAGCGCCGAGCGGGGCTTAATATATTTATATTGTCAACACTGTTCGAATGTCAATCAAAATACGTCACTGTCTGATTTGACGCACTTCCTGTAACTTTAACATATTAATAATGCTAATCAGAATACGTCATTGTATGTGTGACGTCCTGTAACTTTAACATAACAATAACAATGTCAATTGTTGCGCAATGTATCCGCCACGAGTAAATAGTCTTCGTCTGCATTCTCAATTCGCTGTCTGTGTTCTTGTGCGATCGATTCTATTACGCTTGAACATTTCCACGTACCTACACCTTGTACAGACTAAGTAGAGTACCGATACACACAAATCCACGCTCCGTATTTATATGTTCGTGCGGGACTGCTTATTGTTTAAATTAGTCACTTTCATGTCTCTACACTGCGTGTTAGAAAAATATCACCATATTCATGCCAACTAGGTAGTGTTTAGTTGAAAAGATATCTGTGTTAAATGAACTTGGTATGAATTCTATTGTTATTAGAAACACACAGTTGGCAATTAAGACCATTGTAATAATTATACATTCATTTCATTCTTCGCCTGTTGGTGCTTAACAATATTAACAAGACGCCTACTCAGGCGTTCACACTGACCTGAAAATGATGACATGCGCGCTATAGTGCAATCTCGTTTCCTGAGCCTGCGGTCCTTGGGAAGGAAACGACGGCTCTGGGATATTCCGTTTCAAGGAGGAATCTGATTGGCCGTTGATATGGAATGTGCAGTTCAATCTTAGCCAGAATTCCTGGCTTTCGGCAACGGATTATCCCAAAGCCTTCGTTTCCTTCCCGAGGATCGCAGGTTCGGGGAACGAGATTGGCTATGGTGTAATAGATAAGGGAATGAGGAGCAAGAGAGTTCGTATAGAACAGTTTCAGCGGTATATACGGTAGATTTATCCAAAGGAAATCAATAATTTGACAACATAAAGCAGAAGGCAGAAATCACCACGTTATCATTGGCAACTTTTCAACCCTATACTATGCAATTAGGGCAACCTTGATTGCGGTGCCCGTGCCATTTTTGGCACCGCATTATATTGCGGTGCCCGTGCCATTTTTGGCACCGCATTATATTCTGCCTGTGAGTTTGTCCGTTTGTTCGTTTGTTTGTTTGTTTGTTTGTTTGTTTGTTTGTTTGTTTGTTTGTTTGTTTGTTTGTTTGTTTGTTTGTTTGTTTGTTTGTTTGTTTGTTTGTTTGTTTGTTTGCTTGTTTGTTTGTTTGTTTGTTTGTTTGTTTTTGTTTGTTTGTTTGTTTGTTTGTTTGTTTGTTTTGTTTTGTTTTGTTTTGTTTTGTTTTGTTTGTTTTGTTTTGTTTTGTTTTGTTTGTTTTGTTTGTTTGTTTGTTTGTTTGTTTGTTTGTTTGTTTGTTTTGTTTTGTTTTGTTTTGTTTTGTTTGTTTGTTTGTTTGTTTGTTTGTTTGTTTGTTTGTTTGTTTGTTTGTTTGTTTGTTTGTTTGTTTGTTTTGTTTGTTTGTTTGTTTGTTTGTTTGTTTGTTTGTTTGTTTGTTTTGTTTGTTTGTTTGTTTGTTTGTTTGTTTGTTTGTTTGTTTGTTTGTTTGTTTGTTTGTTTGTTTGTTTGTTTGTTTGTTTGTTTGTTTGTTTGTTTGTTTGTTTGTTTGTTTGTTAGTTTGTTCGCATCAATACGTTTCCTTAATCGCCTACCAAAAATTCCTTGCACGTGCTCGGAATTTATTAATTATTATTAATCGTGTACACTCATGATGATCGACAGTTTGCTCAGCTTTATCTTTGGTTTTATGCGTCAAACAGGACAAAAATACCACTGTTCGAATCAGCGTGAAAAGTTGTGTTTACGGATGGAAAATTGATTTCAAAATTGACTTCTATTCTAGGTATTTGAATTGTCGCCTTTGAAAGACAAAAGCCGCTC